CCCTGGGTTCAAACCTAGTCTGTCTGTGTGGAGTTAGCATATCATCCTCATGTTCCTGTGTCCATCCATCACCCAAAGACATGGAGGCCTGGTTTGACTTTCGCCTCAGAATTGCCCCTTTCTCTGGGGCAGTGACAGACTGCTGCCCCCTCCAGGACAACAGCAGTCTTGCACGCCTTGCCCCTCCTTAGCCTCCTGTTGATTGGAACGACTGTCATGTTCTTACAGCCATAAATCCATGGAGTTGGTCATGTCAATCAAAAACTGGGAGTCATGAGGAGGATTATCTGAAGTATCACTATATACACGGAGCAGCTAGTTTATTAGGTGCACCTGCCCTTCCTATGTAATTAACTGCTCAATCAGTTACAGCATCATCAATGCAATTTAAAGCAGGTAGGCAGGTACCTACAGGTCACATGCGTGTGCAATTCAGATGGAGAACGGGCACTACAAAAGGATTTAAGCGAGTTTGAACGTGGCTCAGTATGGCAAGCAAACAAGCTAGCATGAATGTATTAGAAACACAAACCCTGCTGGAGTTTTCACACATGACAGTATAACTGATGTACTGAGAACAGGCCCCAACCCAGATAACATGTGCAGAATAACAGATGGGCTACAGTCAGTCAACTACCAAAAGCGTACAACAGTGGTGCTGGAAGAGGCACAACAGAACTTGTTGTACCTTGTCACGGTCTGGATATGGCAGCCGACAACCCAACCACATTCCACTCCTGTCAATGAAAAAGGAGAAGGTGTGCAGTGGACTAAGGAACACAAACACTGGACACTGGAGGAAAAAGACCTATGACTCCCAGTTCCTGCTGTTCCATGCTGATGAGAGAGTCAGGATATGTTGAAAACCACACAAGGCCATGGGTCCATCCTGCCCAATTCAGAATGTTCTGAACACCAAGAGGGGACCAACTCACTATTGGGTAGATATAGCAGCCACACACTGTAGTATTCGAGTCAATTTTTCTCTTCCGGGTGGGAAAAAAACAAGTCGGGCAAGATTTCTTAATCCACGAAAAAAGCTATTTTAAATGTGCTATTTAAAATGTACACAATCTGTAAAATCTTGCTGAACTGCATAAAAAATATTTAAAAATGTTTAATGTATAAAGCAATTTTTGTTTGTTTTTTAAACTGGTCACCTTTGAGATGGTGGGAGTGTAAAAAAATCTTCTAGGTGATTAATTAGGACTAATTATTAATGAATGGTGAAAAGGGAGTTCTCATTGGGCACGTGGCGATTGTGAATAGAGCACAATATTTAGGTGGGATGAGCCATTCCGCCATCTTTTAAAACTTAAAGTTACGAAAATATTTAAAAGGTATTGAACTGAGGCCTTTTGGCATTAACTGAATAAATCGTTGTTCAATACAATTACCTTAAGAGCCAAATTGCTAGCTGCTTCTCCTAGGATCATCAGTAAAAATGTTCCTTTAGGTTACTGAGAGAGATGGATTGAACCTGACCGTGATTAAAAAAACCCTTCGGTTATGTCAAAGGACTTGATAATTGAAGAACAAATTACAAAGGGAATTAGAGGTATACAGTACAATGAAAGAAACCCAAGGCAGACCCTTCACATCCACAAGAATTTCTATTATTTAGAAGTTTATATTTCTAAATGCAAAATAAAATTTGTATTTGATCTATGCATTCTTGTTTTAATTATGCCTGAGCTCTCGATGGATTATTGAATCCTTAATTCAACAGATCTTGAGAACAATCACATGCATGCAACTCATAGGCGTTCCACACATCACGTTCAACATACTATTGATAAAGTAGGTAACCATCATCATTCCAACTGAAAGCAATAACTCTCAAAAGCACATTATTCACTCACGTAGGCCAGAAAAACAAGAGGCTGAATCCCAGCACCAGGACGCCCTGTGTGAGACACCAGGAGAGAAGAGCTCGGACGTTGGAAAGCGTGTTCTGTCCCCAGGAGGTGCCTCCTCTCGATGCAGTGCACACACCCTGTCAGTATCACGCTGTCGTTTTTTGAGCTGACAACAGAAAAGTCGGCTCCACTGTTCATCTCTCTGTGCATATTGCCCATTCCGGTCTCACATGGTAAAGCACAATTTATCACATGGAAAATCTGCCCCCATTTTGCAAATGCAGACGAACTGGGAAAACGAATTAATGCACAAACGTTACTTACAGCTGCCGTTTGCAATCCTGCTGAAACACCTGCCCCTGTGGAATCACACAGATGTTTGACACTTTGTCACCTCCCACCTTATGTTGTGATCAAAGGACACCTCTTTTCCCTCTGGTCCAAAATAGGCACACCAAATACCAAATCACACCATTGGTAACACAGGATTCTGTGCTGTAAAAGGTGCCATTTTTTATATAAGACTGTAAACCAAGGATTGAGCCACTTGTGCAGTCAAGATCCTGAGGCTCTTCATAAAATTAGTAATGTGATAATACTACACCTTAACATCTACCTAGGCTGTGCACAAGTGTCCCACTATCCAGCAGATCCAGTGAGGAAGAAACTGCTTCACCAAGTGAATAAATCAGGAAGTCTGGAAAAGTTAGATGATGTCAGGACACCGAGATTAAACACTGAACACCACAATATGCTTATGAGCAGTGACTTTGGATGTTTAATGACCAAACAAGGAAAATATATCCAATGGATGACATCTCCCACAAATCAGTGCCTTCTATCACCATACTGAGGAGATGATTAGGAAACAGTCATCTACAGGAAAGAGAGCAAACTATTGGTAATCCAACACTACTGCATGGTGCTATGTTAATCAAACCCTCTTCCTCAGGTTCATCCTGCAGACAATATTCAAACAGAACAACTCAGAGCCTCATTTTTTATTGAAACAATGGATTTCTGTTATGCATCCCTATACCACACTTGAGCCACACTGAACATTTGTGGGATGAGCTGGGTCTTGAGACCAGTGAAGAGGCACACGCTTGTCCAGACTAACAGTGTAATGGGACAGAAACCCAACAGAGAACATCTGCTATCTGGGAGAAAGCATGAGTCGCAGATGAACAGCTTGTACTGCTTCTACTGGAGACTTTCACAGTGCAACCCCTGCTGATAAACCCTCTTGTCGTCAAGTGTTGACCATTGTAATGCATTTCAGTATAGCTCAGCTGTTGTGATAAATGGCAGTGCACTGCCTTCAAAAACATTTTCCTAATAAGTTTGAACTGAATTTGGTACTGGTATACCAAGCTTTCCGTGATGCTTAGTACAGTTTGAACAGGCTGACAGATTTTAGAAGCAACATGTGGATCATAGGTCTTTAAACAATACCTCAAAACACAGCCAAGAAATCAGGAGGAAGTGCATGGCATTTACACCAAGTGATTGTTTGGAACATGAGGCTTTCCAGGACAGCCCTGAGTCATCCTCCTTGGATCTGGCCTCTTGCTTCAGTTTAAAGCTTGAAGCTGGAGCACACTCGGCCAATCCTCTGATCTACTTCAGACACCAACAGAAAAATATCTTTCTGCTCTTTTGTTCAAGTGTCAAGGGCTGCATGTCCTCTTCCCTTAACTTTAAAAAGATCAAGAGTGAATGCTTACTTCTGTCCAGCCAAACTGTACCTATAAGACTTCTGCTTTAAACTGTAATTGTTTTACAAACCTACCCAGCATACACAGTAAGATTTTGTTGAGACATTTTCATTAGAGCTGCGATTCTCCGTTTTTGGTCTGAAATGCAAAAAGACATCCCAAGTTTATTTTCATGAAGTCAAGTGCCTTTCTACCAGTGCTTGCAGAAAGAATAACGGCATATACATATGTATATGTTTATAAATGTAAAATTAAAAAAATTCTGTTTGTGACCAAATGTATAATTTTTACAGATTTTAGCTCTTCTGTACACAAAGGGATTTGTGGGGGTCTGGAATATCCTACTCAGCCCTGTTGTTGAAACACATTCCCCAGCATCCACCAAGAAACAGCTGGGTGACATCTTGAGATCAACAAACGGGTTAACTAGAAGATGGGCTGAAGAGCATCCTCTTTCTTGAAACCTCTTCTATGTTTGTATGAGACTCTGGCTACATGATAATTAACACGTATGTATAAGAAACTGGCCCATTCAATCAGAAAAAAAAAAGAGAAGGGAGTCCGTAAAAAACAACAGTGGGGAGCTGCAGCAGCATGCAAGCAGCAAGCACAAGCTGGAGAGCAGAAACAAACATTTAGCCACTGAGTCACACAGCCATTTCTTTCTCTTGTTCAGCGTGGAATTAACCTGTACTTGTTGATTTCCAACCCGAAAACATGACCGACGTTTGCACTTACTAAACCTGCAGGATGACAAGTGTGCAACAAGCAGGATTGCAATGAGATAGGTAACGCCAGTTTGCTGGGAGAAGGGTCAGTGAACATTGTAGCAGAACGCAATCAACAGTGAAGCACACAAAATGAGTTTGGCAAGAGCCTCTGCTTTTGGGTTCGGAAAATGTAATAAGAGAAGCATGTTAGCCAAGGAAAATATGAGCAGGCACCATCGTGCAATGCCCATCTGGAAATCTTTTTGATGGGAAAGATGAATTTTTCAACCCATCCCTGATATACCCCAATTATTTAGGTATGCTGCAGACAAACATCTAATAAATTATCATCACTCAACAACCCAAACTTCACCACAAAACATTCTGAACCCCACACTTACAAAGAGGTTTTTAGATATACACACAGATTAATCAAGTCAGATGAATCAATCAGAGCTGTGGCAACAACCATCACCTCTGAAAGCACAGTATTCACCTGCTTTAATCGTTCTGAACCCACTGATTTAAATCTTCAAACGGCAGCATGAAGATCATAAAACAAATTGCTTACCAAAAAGCTCCTACATTCCTCATGGCCTCTATCAAAATGGACGTGGCTGTTTTCCAAGATGAGACGCATTCTTCTTTTCCCTTGCAGTCAATGATTTGGGGAGAATCGGAGCTTAAAAGGGGGAAACTCACTTTTTCTACAGTGCCTTTCGGCACTAAGCTTGCCCAGCTTGGAGCTGTGTGCCCCCATCAACCTCAGCCGTCATGCAGCTGAAGGGCACTCGCGGTCCAAGTGAACCGGGGTGGGCACCACTTGGGGTACCTGCATTCAAACCTGGGTTTCGACAGAACTCGGACCTTGACGGAGAATTCCTGGGGCTTCCCGACGGAACAAACTTCGAAAGAAAGGACACATTAAGGTTTCTAGGGACAGGTACATGGGATTTTCAAAGAACATAGCCATATAAAGTGAACACTCGCACCCCCATTCGACAATTGAAACTAGTAATTTCCTTGTTAAAATTCACATCCTGCTATTAAGTGAAAAGGAGTGTTTTAAAAACAAATGTGGTATCATTTGCTCTTAAACATTGCAGAAATGCAAATCATGGAGAGCAGAGATTGACATTCTCTTGGCCAGCAGATGGGGAACTAGAGTTGCCCGCAAGAACGACACAGGGCACTGGGCACTTTATACGAAACAATATATTTTATTTTTCTTCCAACACCACAGCCCTGGGAAGTGGTTCTGTACCAAATTCAATGGAGTTACACATAACAGTTTTACACTAGAGGGGGAGGGAGATAGAGACTTTTTTTGTCTTTTTTTTTTCTTTTTATAACAAAATTCAGGATACCCTCTTAAATCCATATCTACTCCCACAGCAAAATGTACTTGGGGGTAGCCTTGAGTAATGATACACAGCAAGTTAAAAAAAATATATAACAGTAATATTCCTGGGCCACAAAGTATAACAGTAAAGTCCGAACGCTCAGCCAACGAAGGACCGACTGCTTGAAACATGAGGCATGTTGTCCGATATCCCCTAGCCCCCATCCCCCTCAGGACAAAAAAACAAAAATGGTATTCAAGAACCAGCAGACACACTGCGCATATCAGAAGATTGGATGATTTCTACGTACTCTGTCCATAGTGTTTTTTTTCTTGACAATAAAAAAAGAAAAGAAAAACACTTTATTATAGTTAATCCATGTTTGTGCTTATTTTTTTTATAATACTATTAATCTTTATGAGGTCATAGTTTGGTTTGTTATACACTGGAGTTTATTAAAAAAAGAAATGGTTTTGCCCACCCCAAGGTAAACAGTACTGTGTGGTGACTGATGCAGCATGTCATTCAATAACTGCAGCCCTCTCCCCTCCCCCCAAACAATAAACAGAGATGGAAAAAGAAAAAAAAACTATAGAAGTCACTGCTAAAATCCCTTTTACAATACAAGTACAGTACACAAATACAAAGAATTTTATTTCCGGAGGGAAAAGATCCATGACGTAAACATACAGCGAAAACGGTGCAACTTGTGACGAAATGGCGATCCTTTGTAATTTTTTGTATTTTTTTTTTTACTTATTGTTTAAAAAAGTACAGCTACAGACCTCTAAACCTGGAGCATTTAAGTAGCCTCCCGAGTCCAAAAAAAAATGGATTAAAAAAATTCTAGGAACTGTTGAGCTAATGATGTAAAACTTCACCGTAGATTAATCTCATACATTCTGGAGTTTTCAAAAAAAAAATTAAAAATAAAATGAGAAGAACCCTAGTTTTACCCTCTTCGTATTTGTTCTGCATGTCGCAGTGCAACTGCAACACCTAATCCCGTCGCTGTCTTGCTAAGGAGGGTTTTCCCATTTCACACTTACAGGTACTTATGTAAGTGATGCCCATTTCCTGTAGTCCCAACCTACAACACCTGTGCTTGCGTGTACAAGTCCTTTCTCTTTTTATAGCAGCTTAGAACATTAAATTCCCTGGGTTTCCAGGCCCAGGGTTGAACCCCATTCCCACATCTGCTGCCATGCCTCGGGGCCTCATCTGAGGCGGCATCATCATAGTTTGCTGTGGGCCACCCATACCGTGCAGTGACATCATCATGTTAGGAGACCCCACAGGTCCAGGGTGGTTGTAAAGAACCCCCGGCCCTCGCTCCTTGCCTGGCATCATTCCAGGACCACCCATCATGCCAGGCTGCCCAGGCATACCAGTTTGTGCTGGTGACATCATCCGGTGCTGAGGTCCCATCATGCCTTGAGGCATGAAGCCTGGTGGTCGCATGGGATTGTGCGCCGGATTGCCCATTGGCATGTCCTGAGGGCCCATGTGGCCAGGTCCAGGCCCCCCCATACCCGGCATGGGAAGTCCCATCCTGGGGTTCGGCTCGCCCATCATGCCCTGCATCTGAGGGAAGCCTGGGACCGGGCCCGAGGGATGGGGCGGTTTGCTGCCGGGAGCTTCGCCTCGCGGGAAGTATTGCAGAGTCTGGCTGGGCTTCTCTGAGGGGATGATCCGCGATAAGTCAAATTCAGGAATCCCCGACGCACCTGGGCGGATGACCTCCTGCAGATCAGGGTCGGTGAACACGGAGGGCATGTTGTTGAAAGATTCTTGGCCACCGGGCACGTTTGGTTTACAAATCCCTGGCTCTCCACCAGGGCCTTGGGGCATGTTGCCGAGGCGACCAAGGGGTCCCCCTTCCCCTGGAAAGCCCATTCCGTGAGGAAAACCTGCCTGAACCCCACTGGGCCCAGGGCCATTATGAGGGAAGGGGACTTGCTGTGGGGGAGATTGCACTGGAGGGAAACCCTGTTGCCTGTGAGGAAAGCCCATTCGACCTTGAGGTATCATCTGGGGATTGTTGAGCCCAGGATCTTGAGAACCAGGAGGCATCATCATTCCATGTGGCATCATGCCTGGACCCATGGGCCCCGAGTGCGGAGGAATATTGGGGCCCATGGGGTTCGGTGATGGCATCTGATTGGGGAGGCCGTGCGAGAGTGGCTGTGACCCCATAGTGTTCATCCCCATGGGGCTGAGAGAGGGCATGTGCCCTGAAGAGTTTGGAGCCATCATACGAGGGTGGTTTGAGTGGTGATTTACTCCCATACCTGCGAAAGAGCAAAAGCAACACTTACAAATTATGGATGTGATTATTGGCCTTGACAGGTTTATGAGACATTTCTAATCAGACCGTGGTAGTTCATATATGGCTTGGTTTTGACAGCTTTATCTCAACAGATATAAATACTCCAAAAGAACAACTGATTTGTGAAATTTAACCAGACTACCCTTTGCTTTAACTTGAGAAAACATGGCTCAATATTTATATACACAATCACAAAAGATGGCTTGCTGCAAGATACAATTTCAGAAAGGGCAGCAAGCAGTGGCTAAGCCTGAATTTTAATCAACTCCTGGTTTTTCCACTTAATTACACCTAGCCTAGGCACTGCAAAATCTTTATTTTCAAAGCAAAAACGATCAGTTGCATATCAGTGTTCTCTGTAGAGCTCTATACCTTCAAACTGGCAAAATTCTCCATTAATATTTAACTTCTTAAAACTTGTTGAATGTTGCCATCTTCAGGTGTCCTGAGACCTCTGAAAACAAGCTTCAATTCATTGTGTTGCAGAAAGGACTTCCAAAATTTGAGAATGTCCACCTTTAGAAATCTGAACAAGTAAAGGTTTATCCCATGCTGAAAGGACATGCGTTTCCCTGTGGAACCTTCTTCAGGGGCAGGTCTCTTTTCCTTTCCTTTCAGCATGGAATAAACCTTTACCTGTTCCTTTGTAGCTTAAGCATGCTGACGCAGCTCCCTACTTGAACATCTTCAGAAATTGTTTTCTATTAAAAATATCCCTCTTGAATTACTTATTACTTAGACACAATAGAAATGCCTTCCTCCCGTCCACAGAAATCGCCCTCTGGTGCCTTGTGAAAAGCCCAGGGTCTTCGACTCGGCAGGAACACCCACCAGGCATGCTGTTCATGGAAGGAAGGTTGGGCGAACGGGCGGGCGGCGAGTCGTCGTCAGAGCTGGCGACCGTCTTGATGGCATCGTGGTAGAGAGGGGTGGAGCTGGGCATGGCGAACTTGGACATGCGGGACATCATGATGGACAGAGGGTTCTGCGACAGGGTGGGCTCCGGTGGCATGGCGTAGGGGCTGCCGGAGGGAAGACTCCCAGGGAGATTCATGGATCCTGGCTGCCCGGCCGAGCTGCTAGAAGCAGGAACCGAGGGAGGGCCATTTCCACCTGAAACATGGAGCAACTGGTCAGGCCTCCTGAAGCTGGCTGTCAGACACAGTACACGTGACTTCGCTGGCATTACCAGGTCTACAGACTAGGGGCTGATGCAGCGTTTTCCACCAGCACAGTATTCATTTTTTACAACCCTGACCCAACAAGGACCAGAGGATTCCACAGTGACCTGCTGGAATCCATCTAAACAAATTCCCAGACATCCAAGGAGGTTAAATGGGACATGAAGGTATCGCTCCCTGCACTGCAGAAAAAAACCTTTCTTTATTATTCCTTGTGGTGCTGGATTCAAGTGAAGAACATCCTGTTCAATTTGGTTTTATCTTATTTTACAAGGACATGGCAACCCTTACTTCTTCAAGATAACTAAAATAATAAGGTACCAGGTTTAGCTAGAAGGGTCTAAACAGTATGTGAAAATGAAATGACAAGGTGCCTTTATTTAGAATGGGATAATAAGATACGAGATAGGAAAAGTTTTCAGAAACATATACAATGAAAGTTAAAAAAAAAACATTCTTAAGCAGACAAGAGAGCCTTTGAGAAAAGCAGGATTATCAGCTGTGACATTACAGAGCATTTAATTAGAAGCTCCATCGTGCAAAAACAAAAATTGTTTACGGTTCAGTATATGTCCTTATTGCAATATCCAGGGAACTCAGCTGCACATTCATAATAATTCATGCATATATAGCTGGCGTTAATTTTTATTTCAGATTGCATAAGAATATAATTTTGGAAAATTTCCATTAAAAAAAAAATCTGAAATGCCTTTTCTCCAGCATTTACAATAAAAGGGTCTTGTCGTCCATTTGCATCAACAGGTGGAGCTATTTCCCCCAACAGATCTGAGAACATTCAATAAGTGAAGAATGAACAAAAGGCAAGAAAAATATTCCAGAAGAAATTAACACAATATTATGTAAATATTCAAATTAAAACTAAATTAAACAAAGATTGAGTACTACAGAGGATCAAACTGACATTTGCAGGTATATTTTTTTCCATGGACACCACAACCCCCCTTGTGACAGACATTTATAAGCAATTTATCTCAATTAAGACAATGCGAAACTCCAACTCGCCCTCAACAGATATCAAGCAACACTGATTGAGATCAGTACCAAATATATTTGAAGTCACTGTTATGGTGTAGTATTTCAACAAGGTGCACTAAAAGATATTTATGTGCAGTACTGATTCAGTAAGTATTAAGTTTGATGTTTAATACAACTATAGCAAATGAATGCAGCTGTCTAGTCATTTACTTCAACACTTAACACATGACTGGAGCAGAAGCAGAAGGTGATGTGAGTCATCGGTGAATCCTGTACAACCATTAACCTTTCATCACTGTGCCTTTTCAGTTTGCTAACAAGCATGCACATATCTGACGCAAACGTATTAATTAAACCGTTGAGCCACAGAACTGAATTTTGGCAAAACGCGTATATTCAAAAGCACTTTTCTGGGTTCAACTCGCTGCCAGGCATTGTGCCGATGCAATTTTAAAACTGCAAGTTAACACATTTACTTGAAATATGCAATGAAGTGTGCCAACATATCTTGAAAATATCCAAAAATGCAAATGTAAAAATCTTAGATATGTAAAATATTGACAAAAATAACAAGCACCTATTGATTAACGTTTTAGAGTTTTCATAACCTTCCTCATTCTTGGCCATTTATTTGGAAGTCAGTAAGTCCCAGATCAAAGCCCACACTGTTGGTTAAACTGTCTCCTTATTGCCTTTTGCGGGGTAGGGGGTGGTCTAGGTTATTCTGCTATGTCTCTATTTTCCAGCCTTCCCCTAATCACACAGTCTTGATCACTATCGACTTATGCCACCAATCCCAACAGTGCAACATACTCAGTGCTCTCCCAGCTACACAGGCATCTGTACCCAAGCACTCAGTCGCGCTGGCCTTACCTTGCTCCACGTTCCCCATCATATTCGGAGACGTCATGCTTAGCGAGGGCTTGTTAGTCTGGGGGATCCCTGGGCTCTGCATGGGTGGCTTGGGGGAGGATGTCCACCCTGGGGAAGGCGCCGGCAGGGAGGGAGACTTGAGGTGGACCGGAGAGGCGGCGGCAGAGCCCAGGATGGGAGGGGACTTGATGGAGGCAGCGGCCGCAGCCGCGGCAGCGGCCGCCGCGGCAGCAGACTGGCCCGTGAGCATCCCCGCCAACTGGGACGGGGTCTGCGGCGACTTCAGGTTGGCGGAGGGGGAGCCCAGCATGGGCGACTGCACCTGCCTCAGCGTGGGAGACTTCAAGGGGTTGACGTTTGGCGAGTTGACTGGACCGGCGGAGACGCTCAGGTCTGAGGGTTTCCGTCCCAAGCTCCTCTGGTTGGCAGGGGGGCCTGAACCGATATTGCCAGAACTGGTGGGCTGGTTTAGAGGTAGTGGTGGCATGTGACTGAGCCTGGCATTGCCTCCTGCATTAGTCCTTTGTTCAGGCCCAAAAGGCTGCTCGCCCCGCGGCCCCCTCATGTTGCCTGGCCCTTGAGACATTCCTGGGAAATGACGATTGGGAGCCATGTTGAATTCCTGCGGTTGGGATTGGTCAGGAAACTGGTGTCCTTGAAGCATCTTTTGCTGGGGGCCAACATTGTCAGGTGGGCCCCCCCCACCTTGTCGCATTTTCATCACTTCCTCAGGACTCATGTTCATTGGGGGTTCTCTCATCTTGGAAGCCATCATTTGAGGGTTTGAGCCCATGTTGACATTGAGGGTCATGTCTTTCATGTTCATGCCTCCAGGTCCCATACCAAACTCCATGTCCCTACCTGGACCTTTCATAAACTCTATTCTAGAGGGGCTCATAGGGCCATCTCCTGGCATCCTAGGGAACATAACCCCTCCTCCATTACTGCCTGGATCCATGGGTCTTTGGTTCCCCATCATCCTGTTTATGTCCATTGGTGGACCTCGCACATTGTCCATAACCATTCCTGGCGGCAAGCCTATCTGCTGCTTATCTGCCATCTGCTGTGAGAACATCCCTTCTTGCACTGCTTGGGGATTGGGGAATCTTTCCACTCGGCCTCCTGGACCTCCGAAAACCCCCTGCACTGGGGGAAACCCTCGACCATCCCCCATCTTGGGCATGTCATCCGGCCAGCTCATGCCAGGTCTTGGCATGGGATTGGGCCCACTATCCATGTCAGGATTCATCATTCCTGGAAAGCCTGGCATTCTTTGCATTGCGTGAGGAGGCATGCCTCTTGGCGGCATGCTCATCTGGTCACCAAAGGGCTCAGGCCCGCCAGGGCCCCAGACCTCCCCAGGGTTCATCTGGTAAGGAGGTGGGGGTCCCCTCATCATGCCACGGGGACCATGCTGATGGAGCATCATATCACCCATGGGCCTGTGTTGGACCTGCTCCTGCTTTCGTTTCTTCTCCTCGTAAAATTCCTGTTGTAACTTCAGCCAGGCCATCTGCTCTGGTGTCATGTGATCTGAATGTTCGGAACCGGGGTGAGAGTTCATGGGTGGCCCAGGCGGTGGCCCTAGCTCATCAGGGGAGAAGGGCATATCCCTATGCCCAGGCTGAGCAAATGGAGGGCCTTCTGGCCTTGACCCAGGTGGCTTTCCAAGACTTTGAGATTGGGCCATCATAGCCTGGAGGGGTCCTTGATCAGATTTCTTGGTTCCTCCTTCCATCATGTTTGTGTTTGGAGGAGGAGCCCCGCCATTGCCTTGCCCCAGGGCCGAAAGATCCTTCAAAGCAAAGTCTTTCTCATCGGGGAAGAGCATGCGCTGAATGTCCCGCAAGGTCTGCAAGGAACGTTCTCTGTGCTCAAGCTGCTCCTGGGAAAGGCCCTCTGGGTTATCCCCCATGCTCGAAATAATTTCATTGGCCAGCTGCTGGTGGTGCTGCTGCTGCTGCTGTTGTGGAGTCATCTTTGACTCCCCCTTGCTTTCTAGCGAGGAGAATACGGTCTGCGGCCCTGGAGTGCAGGATGCCTGGCTGGCAGGCGTGCTGCCAGGATTAGTACTGTCCTGGGGGGTGGTGTTTCTGGGGCTACTGCTTGGCAAGCTTTTATTGTCCATGCCCCCTGCAGTGTCCTGTGGCAAGTTCGCAGATTTAGGCCCCGGCTGCTGAGATTGGGGTGGCTGCTGGTTGGACTGTACTTTGGATGCCTGTTGGTGGTTTTGTTCTGGGGGGTGAGATGGTGGCTGCTGGGACTGCTGTGGTGGAGGTGCTTGTTGCTGGAGGGCCTTTGGTTCATTTCGAACAGGTCCCACTTGATTGTTCTGAAAGAAAGGCAGAAAATGAAATGGGTTTAAGGTCACACTACTGCACCCTTCTATTCTTCATGACATGCCAGACGAAAAGCAGGAAATCTGTTTGATACTCAGAACTGTTAAAAGAACTTTAGGTTTAAACTACCTTATGGATTCCCTCTCTGTACTTATATATCAAAATATGTGGTGTCTTGTTAAATTATCTTCATCCTCAACAGTTAACAAGCACAGCCTTAATCATTACTGGTTCTAAAAAAGAGCTGGGATAATGCTACACATTTACAAGTTCTTGTAACATTTAGCTTCATACTCATGGGACTGAGGGAATCTTTTTAGCAACTATATTTAGTTATACAAAGAGAGATCCTGTTTTCTACTGGAGCTTACCACAGGTTGGTGAGTCTTCTCAGTCTTGCTATTGGATATATTCTTCATGTGGTAGGCAACAATGGATTCCGCATGACCAGTCACAACAGCATCTGCAGCCCTAGAAGTGGAGCACACAATATGATTTCGTTCAGTCTCCCTCTGAATTCGTAAATTTCAAAACAATCAAAACATGATTGTTCCTACCACCACAAAAATAAAACATTTCCATGGCCCTATGAAAATGTTTCCGATTGATTTGAAAAGATACCAGCATTAGAACACTTTCAGTTCTCATATATGACGTGCATAATATTGGTTCTATGCCCCCCTTCCAACAGCAACAGCATGGCTCTTGAGTAAAACAGGCTAAAGAGATATTTCTCAGCCACTTCTCAATCTTCTTGAACTGGAGCAACGGAGATTGGGAGATCACCAGACGTGGAATTGTTTTCAATAACTGACATGGATCACAAATGACCGGTAGTACAAGAAAGGTCATTAAGTCCTAATCACGTCAAACTTGGCACAGCAGACACATTGATCTACTAAAACATCTGCTCAGAACTTCAGTATGGAAATCTGATCTCAGTATCCCCTCTGTAATGTTCAAAGGACTTCACATCTAAAGTTCAGAAATCCTTATTTCATTATTGGAGCTTGAAGCAAAAAAAAAAAGCATGTGCCAATATGGACTATAACATAGTATACTGCTTAGTCATGTGCACATTACAACAAATCTGAAAACGTTTCCAAAACATATTTCTGCTCATTTTCCAAGAAAATCTATCAGGTGAAAGATGTCGCTGTAATTTCTATTGAAACAGAGAAAGTGATTCAGTATTAAAAGTCGAATAAAAGAAGGTAACTGTCAATCAGTGCTGGGGAAATATACAAAAACCTGATCAACTTACGTTGCAAGTAGATCGACAGTATTTAATGCATTTGTAAAACCAAATAATTGCATCTCATCCACACATTCCTGAGAGACTGCTGGTTAAAATTCCACTATCGTTTCTTGTGTTGCTTTTTAAATTTATCATCTTGCATTTCACTTTGTTTACTAACTATATTAAGAAGACATGCTTGAAGCAGGCTCCCAGTAAATTAGATTTTAATCTCAGAGGATTGTTTTTCCTGTTTAGACAGTCAAACAAAAACAGCAACACCAGCACTGCTGTATCCCGGAGCCTGCTCTATCTTTTATACTCTGCACTTGGGACTGAGGAACCTCGACAACAAACACTGGAAGCTAATTTGTTCATCCAAGGGCAGAAACAGAATGCCCAAGTCACAGACGTATTAAGTGGGGGGAAAAAATAGGCCAATCAGTTTCTAGAAATTCTTCTGACTACATCTACAACCGGGCTGACAACAGCTGCACAAAACACCTTACAGGAGCACTGAAAAAACTTGAGGGTTTGGCTAGATGGGGGTTGCTGTCATTATAGACTTTCTTACAGCTAAAATTAGGCACCTCACAAAGCAAGAAAAAGACAAGGTAACCCATTCTAACGACTGGAATGTTTCTGAAGATTCATGCCCAAAAAATGTGCCTTTATCTAGAAATCCAAAGTAATTAAAAAAATCTTATTAGTTTTGGAAGAAGATACACCAGCAAGGAATTACGACTGTCAAGATTAATTCCATGGTGAAAAGTAGAAAAAAAATAGAACAAAAACATTCTGACTGAGTACAGTTGTCCTTACTCTTGTAGGCCTGGTCTCCCTCATTCCCCTACTCATCTGAAGAGATTTCACAGCCCTAGAAACCTTCAGTTTTCAGTGGGGAATAGATCTCTACTTAACACTATCATTTACTCAGTATTGGGAGTCTGCTTTAAATATGTATTATTTAAAGAAAAACACACCATGCATTTTAAAAGTTGGATAAAAAAAAACTAGCTTGAAAAACTCCTGTCAGTTCTATTAGCAATTAGTCTCCCAAATGACTGAAAAACTTAGTTTTTGTGCCTTTCATGGCTATTTTTTCCCTGGCAATATTTTTGACTAAAAATGAACAAAAACTACAGGCAGAGACATTGATGTAGCACGTGCAACTGCTGCACAACACTCCCTTCAAGTATTTGCAGTTCAGGTTGTGTTGTACTAATAATGTAAATTAATGTTTTCACTGTTATGGTCAAAATGACACATGCAGTGCTATAGGACATGCTGCACTTTTCAGCATTAATTGTGAGTTTACGATCTGAACAAAAACATCTATGTCAGAAGACCACTCTATGTATAATTGAGCTTTGGTGTTTATACTTGTTAATCATGGAGTAGATTAGGGGATAAACAGCGCAAGACAACAAGTCGATTTGGTATTCAAAGGCCATGGACAATGCAAAGGAAATGATAAATTAAGATCTCACATGTGGTCTGAATGCCACTAACCCTCCATGAGAATTTGTAATCGTTTAGAACAATTCTTTGCTTAAATTTATAATCTTCTTTAAATGCATTTAATTAACTTTAAAATGTGCCCTGCAAGGCTACCTAATTACACTTCACTTTCTTCAGCAGACAAAAACACAGCTCATTCTTCATTATTAAAAGTCAGTCTACAATTATTCTTAGTGCCCCAGCTGACAGTTTGAACCTCATCAATTCTTGTCCGTTTTCATGGCAAAACACCATATTAGATTGTTGTGCTGTGTAGTCAAAATAACTTAATTTCACAGATTCACAAATTCCAAAGTGTACCAAAGAGGTTACATTTTTTTACCATTCACAGGGGTGGAAGATTAAAAACACTGAAGAAAGAGAGAGGCAGATAGAAATTAAGATTACAAAACATTTGTAAGTTCTCACAACATACTAATAAGTGACATGTTTAACACCCACGGAAAACCCCATGCAAGGTGTTACAAAAAGGGTAGTGACTTATAAGGAAAAAAATGGTGATTGACATTTGAGGACATTATTTTACTTCTCATTGCTTAAACCTGATATTTGGCACCCCAAATATCACGACTTACATAGCACATTTTCTATATTAAAAGTCAAAAACTATTTTGTAAATGTCCGTTGCTTTAATTTGCACAATCTCTACCTTACAGGAAATTTGGAAAGGCTCTTTCTCAAAGAAAGAAAACAACCTCCAGACTCGGGAAGCAGGAAGCTCTAGGCCTCCTTTCCACACAAGAACAGTGGCCACACTGCTTTGATCATACACACAATGTCTCCTCATCATACAAACAGCTGTTAGATTTCTTACTTGTTGGCCATCTCTGTGGAAAAGACATAAACGACTTTTGATGGTGTCTTCTGGCTGCTGGCAGACTCGGAGACAGCATTCTGCCCCCCCACAGAATTGTGGGAAGGCGTGGAAGATCTGCTAATTCCAGCATTGGAAGAAGGGAGGGAATTTGAATCCTGGGGCTTCACATCACCGGAATTACAGTCTGGAAAAAAAGAGAATATTTTTATAAGAGAACATTTCAGGAATATTCAGAAGGCAAACCATGATTGAATAACCTAGGCTGACATCTCTAAGAGACAACCTATTCACTTCCTTTTTGCCACAGCCTTTTCTGTATTATCAAGAATGTTATGCCGCAATAAAAGAAACTTGGCATTTAAGGAATGCTGTCAAAAAGAAAATCCTACATGTTTCAAAACTGACTGAACTCATTCTCTTTAACCTGTTCTGAGGTTTCTGCAAATGCACTACAGCAATGCAAAACCAAATGCAGTCTTAGCAGGCAAATTCTGTCACATTTTACAAATTGCAACCACAAGCACCGTGATTTGACAAATTCTTGTACCGCCTAAACTGACGCCTATGCTTCTATTTTACATCTCCCAAACTCCACAGGCTGGAGGACTGCTGCCTGTGCACAGGTCTTGCCAGAGTACTCCAGCGATGGCCAGGACGAGTGTGTATCGCGCAGCGAAGGACACAGAGAGACTCCAGGTCCAGAGGCACTCACTGTAGAAGCCCTGCTCGTCCTCGTCAGTCTCGCCCCCCGAACACCAGTCGGTGCCGCTGTACGGCTGGCGTCGTTCTGCTACGCACATCCGCTTGGTCCGGCAGCCTGAATCTAGGGGGCGGGGGTGAAAACCAAGGAGGAAATGAACAAAAATCGTGCTTAGGACGAACCCAGCCAAGAAGCTCACCGACGGCACGCACAGCAGCTTTCAACTGGGCAGGTAGCGGAGGATGCAAATCGCACAGGCCTGATCTGAACCGGATACAATCCTGAGAAGTTTTAATATATAACGCGCGATACTTATACAGCCTGAAATGGGTCAAGACAGACGGCCGCGCTCGCTCAGCTGTCAAGACGAGTGGCAGCGCGAGGTCTTGCCAAAGCCTTCTGTGGGAGGTAACTGGAGAGAGGTGCCCGCCCCCCCCTACAGGGAAGGAGGACGTGCTGGAGCAAGAAGCCACACACATGGCATAAAACGCTGGATGCCCAGTAACCACAGTGCAGGAGGATCAAACAGACCCTTCCGCCTCCCACTCAGCTGCAGCCATTTTCCAGCTGCCCCCCCGCCCCAAAGCCCGCCCACCCCCCACCCCCACCCGCTGGCTCCCGGCAGCATTTAATATGAAACAGCGCTACTGTGCTGGGAGCCCAGCATTTGAAGCACAGAGCTCCTGATCGGAATCAGATAAATAAATGAAAGGTTCTAATATATACATTAATTAAATGCAATCAATTTCGGGGCACTCTTCTGAAAGCATGCCAGGGAAAAAGAGAAATAACTGGATTAAGACTGCAAGAGGCAGGCTGGCCGCAGTAAGTGATAGGCGAGCTGGCATATGCAGTGAATTAGTGCATAGCTTGAGTGGAAAATGAAACCAGCGTGCAGTGAACCTTGAATACAATGGCCACCCCAGGGACTTGGCCGTACATGCAGAGAGGCTGTCAGTGGATTGTGAGGACTGAAAACACTTTCGAAGGAGAAGGCGAGACTCTGAGCAGCTAAGGTGGGGGGAAAAATGTGTGCTTTTTATCCACATACGAAACAAGCAACAGTAAAGAAACGCATGCTGCAAACTGTTTACAGAGAAGTTTTCAAGCATTTTAATTTATTCTTTCATTCTATGTGCACTGCCTGAATGTTGAAATAAGCTCAACACTCATTTTACCTAGATCGCCCATGGCTCCGAGTCTAGCTTGCCATTACAGACTCGATCACATACCATTCACCTGCAAGCGTCATGCTCTTGGCCCAGCAACCAGGTCGTTTTACTACTTCAAAGAGCGTTATGGTCTGGTGCTTCTCTTCAGTTCAATTCAAAATGGAAAGCACAGACTGTGGTTTGGCCGTCCATAAGTGCAGAGCTGTTTTGTGAGCTCTTCAGAGAGTGGGGCCAGAGATCTCTGGGCAAGTAAATACTGGTTAAAGTACACAGATCTGCTATACAAACATTCCACTTCTAACTGCGAATTGATATTCTCTGCTGTATTTTTCTCCCGTTCGTGAAACTTTGATTTCTAATACAGGAGAACCAGTCATTAGTCAACTTACTCGTCACTTGTTTATGATAAAAGAGATAAAAGTAACCACACCATGACTTAAATCGATCAGCTCCTGAAGAGATGGCAACTGTGAGTCCTAAAGGGTACATTTAGGATTTTTAAACATTTCCCCCATTTACCAAGCAATGCCTGTACAAACACAAACTGTTATACAACTATTTTAAAAGAAATCATATCAGCTTTGAGCACTGTATATACACCATCCTATAGCCTTATGTGCAGAAAATACACCGCACACAAATACCATCGTATTTAGACAAAAGACACATTACAGCTCTTCAGGCCCTCTGCAAATCTATAAGGAAAATACATTTTTAGGTATTAGTTCTGCTGCAGTGGTTTGGTAGACACGAAAGTTTGATTTCCTTTCCCTGTCACCAATATTGACAAGACAATGTCTCTGTTGAGGAACAACAACATCAGGGATGTGACCTTAAGAAATACCCAGTGATGCCTGGAGGAAATGGGCTGCCAGCCTCCTGAGATTTATCAAAAAAAGGCCCTCCCTCCTCTGCGCTGTGCGGTTAACCACACCATACAATTAAAACTCCTTGTGGTAATTAAAGAACCCTTGCCACAGAGCCGAGCGGTTTTCAATTTCCCCACTTCCAAACGATCTCCTGAAAACAATCACATTAAGCCAGCTTCAGTTCAGAGCCCTCCAACCCCCTACCCCTCTCGGCGCACAGCTGCATGGGTTCAGGTTGGTTTGCCTGGCACACCAATGCAACAACTGCCGCAGCTAATTGAGGGATTGGCTTTGTGCTGCCAGTCCTTGAAACACTGTAGCTGTGTTTAGGAGCGAGATCAGAAGGGAACAGGAGCTCCTGGTTTGTCCGTTAACTTCACACACCTTTCTAGGTCCCTGTCCGGCTTCAATCAGAAGCCAAAAGGCTGTCCTCTGCCATTTTGAGTGTTAAACATGGTGCAGTTGGAGAGCTAGCTTGGTGGAATTTTTCAGGGAGATGAAAACTCACAGGCTGAAAGGAGGTGGTAAGACTAAAATAAAAGAGAACTAACCAGTCATTTCTAATGAGACAGGGAAGTGAAATCTTTACTCGAGCACATATTCTTTGCCCATGTGTAAGAGATGGACTTCCACGATTTAAAGGTCTCCTCTGGCCCCATATGTTTTAAATCTCTCTCTCAGCTGAGCTCCATCAGAGGCAAAAATTCTGACGCTCTGCCATCCAGTCCACCTACCCCAACTGCCTTCCAACAGCACTACAGAGGAAGAGCAAAAGTTGAACTTCTGAGCCTTCTCAGAAAACCGTTCATTTTCATTTATTGCTGTTTACACATCGGCTTGGTAAATTATTTGGGAAACCAAGTAAAAAATCGTCTTCTCTTTTCACTCTGGGGATTAGGCACTGTGATGCCTAGTTCCTAATCAGTAATGCAGCCATGTACTGGGCAACATCGCACAACAGCATACTGTACGATCCGACTGTGTGTGACACAATTTCACTCTGGTCATGCTGATACTCGCATGACACCCCGTTCTGCATATCCCCCCCCACCCCAAGCACTCCACTGAAAAGACAAAACAATCTGTAACTCTTTCAAGTTCATGAGAAAATAGCCTGTGCTTCAGTACAAACACAAACCAGCATCGTGGAAACGTAATAATGGAACAGACTCATTTCTCTTTCGGGAACGGCTCTTCCAAATAGAATAATTTTAAATGAAGCACATAAGGTTCCATACATAACAGTGATACTCTCCTTGAAAGTATCAGGGTTCAAATATTTACCTGTAAGGCAAGGCCTCCATATATTTGAGCATTTGAAAACAGTGGGGACAAAACCCTGGAGTCCTGGCCAAATTTCCCATTGGCCCTTACCAATCATGTCCTCCTAGTAATCCCCCTCTATGAATTGGCTACATTAGTCTGCTCTCCTCCCCACTGAGAGCTGATGTGTGTTGAGCGTTCTGGCGCACTATGGCTGCCGTCGCATCATCCAGGTGGGGCTGCACATTGGTGGTTTCACATGCCAACGCCTGGTGAAATGATTGTTGGTAGTCTCAACAGGAATAATTTGTACTTTAGAACTGCTTACATTGGATATTTTAGATCTCTTTAATCCACAGGTATCTGCAAGATAATTCATAGTTTAAACCATCAAGCCAATTTACTGCATCACATTCCATTTCAGAATTAATGAATTACAAAGGAGCCACTAAACTCCTCTAGCAATGTGTGTACTGTGACGCGGCACTGTTAACAACCTGCCTTGATATCAACAATTCCACAAGAGTGATCTGACAATGCCCCCACCCCATGAAGGGATTCCTCACAGAACTCAATAATCCTTCCGGGTCACAGAGCCCACAACACCATCACACTGAATCTAACCCTCTTTGATAAATTATAGACACACAGCTAAAACGCATATTTTGCGCAGTGTATAAATTACAGTCAGTTGCGTATTTATTAAACATTCCTTTAAAGGCTCCTAATTTGATTTTGCTAACCAGCACAAGACCCACTTACATACTTTCAGTAATTATCCTCAAGAGCAGATATTACATTCATCTAAAGCAATACTCCCCGTTCAATACTCCCTGTTTACCAAAGAGCACTACAAGGCTTACTCAACTGAGTAGCCAACTGAGACAAAGGTGCTTCTCTTACATTTAAGTTAAAGGGGACAGGATACACACTTGTGCAATTACACAACAACGAGCCTGATGAAGGCACTCCCCTGACAGCCCTCAAGTATAGCGTGGCAAATCGAAAACAAGCCAATCAAGGCAAAACCAATGCAACTTCAAACTGCGACAAGGTCAGACATTTCGGTTTTATTTCACGCCATTTTTTTGTGCTCCCACAGGACGCATAGGAAACTTCCACAGAAAAAAAAACAAAAGGGCAAAAACGTTACTCGCTTGAACTGCAGCCCTTGCAGATTTGGAATTAAGAACATATGAAAGGTTCAGGACGAGAGCAGATTATCAGGCAATCTCGCTGTTTCTGGAAAGACGGCATGAGGCTAGATAGGTTCGTGCCATACTCCCGCGACCCTTTGCATAAAGCGGTGCTTTCGGTCTTCTGGTTCAGAAGAAAACCACACTTTCTATCCTATTCTGGAGATGACCGTCATCACGCTTGAATATAAGCACGCCTGTGTTGCAAGTACTACATAACCAGTCACAACAAGGAAAAGCTTAACTGTCAAAACTATAAAAAACGTCCTTTCTGCGATGGAATTTAAATCGGTAAGAACCATGTTACCTAAACTGGAGAATTTCAACGTTAATTAGCTATTTAAGGTGCAGAAGAGCAAATCGAGGAAATGGGCAGGCTCGATCTCGGCTTACCTTTCTGCTCAGACTCGTTGTTTGGCGTACCAGTGTCCCGTTGCTCAAAGGAGTCAACCGAAGTGCTTCTCTCCCTCTTCGCTTTACCCTTCGCCCCATTGCCTGTGTTCAGGCCCTGTCCATTTTTAAGTCCCAGACTGCCCACTGTTCCTTGTGGCCCCTTGGGAGCATGGCCCCCACTCAGTGTCTTGGGGTCACAGGGGGAAGGCTGCGACTGGCCACCCGTTCCACCTTGCTTTCCCTGATTGGGCAATTTGGAGTCCATCTGGGCAGCACTGGAAGGAGACATCACAGGGGGTGACCGCACCATTGCCTCCTGTTTAGATTTTGGACTGCTGCAAATGGGGGGGGAAAAAAAACAGCAAGTTAAAAAATGATACATGAAAAGCACAGGGTCTTTAGTTTTCAAAGCAGTGTTTTTCTCTGCTTTCAAGGAAATATCAATACGACTGGTCAGCCTGGTTGATGCAGAGCTGGTTCCCCCCCCCCACAGACTTCTAAATAGACAAGAGACAGCAAAGGCCCAAGGCTGCCTGCCTGCCTGCTAATGTCTGGTGATTCAAACTGGAAGCACAAGCTGCTCTAGGCCATGAAGTCACATCTGATCCTTTACTGTGCACAACCCAGACGACCCTCGTCTACCAGCTAGCCAGCTCTGTACAGGAGGGATGATAAACTGCAGTCCAGCCGCCACCGCAGCCAGCTGCTACAAAGCACACACTATTACAGGACACTCACCTCCTCGAGCTCAGCACAAGAATACAGGCTCTCTCAGTTCCAGTGCTTCTGCCTTGCCCTGAACAAATGAGTTTTCTGTGGCAGCTCTTGAGTTCAGTAACGGGGATAATTGCCTTAAAGGGACTAAATGGACACCTCATTTCCAGCACAAGTTCAGTCTGTTGGACACCTAATTATTTCAAACTCAACTAGCAATAAAAAAAAAAGAAATCATGGCAATCTTGCTTAGTTTCTGGGTACTTGGCAGAGCAGTGAACGGTCAGCGGCCCGATCGTCTGTCAAGAGATGAATGAGGTTTTGCTCCCATCAGCAATTAGCCTCTAAATCAAAGAATCCCATAGAATCCCCATCTGAGAGGAGGCTGGGAGGATCCGGATAGTGTCAAAAAGCACTGCGACGTGCGCGCTTTGGCGTGACAGATTCATCAAAACGCCCCAATGTGGATGCACGACCGCTATTTTTCCCCCGAAATGAAATCTTTGATTCACGTACGCTTCCAATCTTCGGAACCGCTCAGTGCCCTCACATCGCGACACTAAATATTTCTCGATTCCGACACAGCTGATGTCCCTCCTTCTCTGCATGGAGAGTGAGAACAGACAGACAGGCCCATGCATGGAGGCCGGTTATCCCCCCGACACACTGTGAGCTCCACAGTGCCGGACAGGAGAAGAGCAGTGCCTCACTGATATCACTGCTAACATTCTCCCTGGAGGACCAACAACATATCCAACCCTGAGCCGGACCCCAATAACTGTGACCACTGCTGCTCTGGGGATCCTGTACCCCATTTCAGGCTGAATTAGCTGACTTGCCAGGCCCAGAATACTTAAATGGTCATCATATCTGCAGGGAGGAGGGACTCAGATAAAATTTCCTGACAGGGGAGGAGAATCAGAAGCAGAGAATAACCGGGGACTTATATGTTTAAAAATAAAAGCGGACGCACCATCTAAGTGCTCACAAAAATCTGCAAGGAGAATGATATCGTCGGCACTTTCTCCCAAAACAAAGATTACTCGCTATTAATCCGTTTTGTTTTTGCCTTTCGAAAAAGCTGTGTAGCCGCAGCTCGTTCATCACAATGTTTAATGTTTGCATCCCACTTCTCAAATTACACCGCAAAACAATGATGGACTCACGAAAGACATGCATTAGAAATTACACTGAGGACAACTTGATATCTATAAACCTGCATGCAAGCCATCAAAACTAATGAGTGAAGACTTAAAAATGTTATGCCTCTTTAAAAAGCACGGAATCAAAAAACACCAATTGCTTATGCCGATGTACTTACTGCAAATATGTTCTGAAGGGACAAAGGATAAACATAAAGAGCCTGCAGCTCGTACATGTAATCAAGTGAAAGGAGCCCTTGCAACTGTTTGTAATCTCAGGCACTGCTGCAGAATATCCCATAAATGTCCAACTGGGTTGAGATCTGGTGACTGAGAAGGCCATGACATACTGCACGAATAACATCTGTGTCATGCTCATCTCATCACTGGGCTATCACACGTGCTCTGTGGATGGGAGGGGGACTGTCTACCTGGAAGACACCCCTCCTGAAAGGAAAGACCTGCCGCAACATAGGGTGAATATGGACATGATTACTCTCTACCATTAAGTTGACATTAACATCGACTCTGCCTTCCAAGGGGATTGCCTACATACAAACCATGTCAGCAAATGCACCCTATATCATTACAGAACCACTGGAACCCTTCCCTGTTGGGATCAAGCACTGAGGCTACAGAGGTCTTCAGACTGGTGCCCCACATGGACTTGTCCGTTAGCAGAGGACATGGGGAAGGATGATTTGACCGTATCTCACTTGCCCAAAGGTCAGTCCACTGCCTGTGCTCTTTGCACCACTGGACTCACAGATGTGCACTGCCAGGTGTGATGAGTGGTTTGGTCTGTGCAAGCTGGCATCCCGGCTCAGCAGGGTGTTTTTGATTCACCTCGAATAACCGCACAGATGTGAACAGCCTAGAGTACGCGCTTCCTCCAAACATTACTCTTTTCTGCTGATCTCGTCCAACGACTGGGTGACCCCTTGCCTCGGATGTCCTCGCTGCCATGAAACATCAGCAGGTGTCTAGGTCACTGAATCACCTGCTAAACACACCCCAGCAATCACCCCTCTTTCAGAGTCATGAGGAGTCACTCTTGCAGTCATCATAGAACATCAGGCCTGTCCATGTTTATTTATGGCCCTAGGCATGCTAGGATGTCATTTGCATAATTAACCTACGAACCACACCTATGAGGAAGCCCTTGCTTTTAATATACTTGCTATCTCTCATTTACCCAGTTGGTTTCATTTTTGCTCACTGTGTATGGAGCCCGATCTTACCCACTCCACAGCAAGCACTGAAAATGCTTAACTGGGATACAGAAGTATGTTTACAACCCTAACTTTACACCAAAGTAAAAGTCCTTTCATAAAGGAACACTTACAATAGTTAAAAGGTGACAAAAGTGACATTTCCACAGCAATAAATGGCATACTACAAAACCACTGGTAACTGTACCGTTATCAGTTGTAGATGAATATAGTTTAGCATAATTTCCAATGCTCCTGTCTTGTATTCTTTTTTCTGTATGTACTGTTGGAATTTACCACTTCTACAAACAGTTAAATTGACAACAATATTAGCATTATTCATATAAGCTATATTATGAACGTTTTAATAAAATTTAGATATATCACATTAAGACAAACAAGAAAGGATAGGCTTTGTGTATACTGAAGAGTGAGTCGGCACAAATCAATAAAATAACCTTATTTTTAAGTGAAGATTTTAAAATCAGAAGGGTTCTTTTTGCATATAATGTATTCACATTTCATGCTATTTGAGGACAAAATATGTCTTCTGTTCACAAGTAGACAATCCACATTTTAACTTGAACAGGAAATATTTTTTACCCCCAAATGAAAAATAACCACACAGGGTTTCGTTGTATTTTTCTTTTTCTACTATTACGAATGTCTACGATAACATTTAATTTGGAACTTCTTTTCTGCTGACTGCAAGCTCTTGGTGAAGTGAGCACCCTTCCACAATGTGCAGATGCTGGGGCTCACTTCTCTCATCCTTGGCACCACTTTCTGTAAAACCAGGGGACACAGCCACAAACCCACTACAAAACCTGCGAGCTCCTCACCCCAAAGCAAAACAGCTTAAAATACTGGGTGGCGCCGTGGAACAGGAATCAGGGCTCTGGGGCAGCTATCCTGTAACTGGCAGGTTGCGGGTTCCAATCCCAGGTAAACCCCCCCGATTTAGTTACTTTACTCAGATTGCTCCTGTAAAATAGCCAGCAAATGAAAGCTCAGGAAAAATGAAAGTTGCTTTGGGTAAAAGTGTCAGATTTTTAGACTAAGTAGGAGCAAAACGCACCCTGTAGCAACATTTACTCATTTTGTGTGAAGATAAAATCAGCAAAAAGACTCCATCTTCAGCATTTTCTTTTTTTATGCTTTGTTGACATAGCAAGAGTTAATCTATAACTCCAGATTAAGTCCTGTACAAACAGGCCTTGCAGTTAGACTACATCTATTTCACCAAAGTAGCCCAGTGCTACCAAGTCCTCCTGTCTCTGGAAATGCAACTCAGTTTCTATAGACACTCAACAAACATCCAGAAAAGGGTAAAGAAAGTGTGTGGAGGGGGTGGGGGGCACATCTGTCATCACAGGGAAACAAAATGGACACAAAGCCTACATTCTCGTGATCTAAAGAAACTAGAAAGCACCCTAACATTTCTGATGTATTTTCTGCAGCTTGGAAGCGTCTCATTGGATATGGGCAAGAGAAAGGTTCTGAAGGTATAAAGCACATTGCCCCAGTGAGTTTCTGTAATTATTGGCAGAATCTTATTACTGAAGAGGCAATGTGACTAATTTCCCATGATTAATGAACATGCAGATCTATTACAAATGGGAAAAAGATATTTCTGAAATGCATTCATTTAAATTTGGAGGGAAAAAAAAAGATTTCAAGTCTTTTTAGTAGATAAATTGGAATTATTCTTCACTGAAATGCTGACTGGGATTTCGACGTGAATGTTGATAGTGATCAACCTCTGAGTTTGCTGTAGAGATGGCTCTTTTCCATCTAAATTAACTTCTCCATAATCAAGCACTTTGATGTCAATGGTGGCTGTTTAGCCAATGTGTTGAATTGAAGTGTATGTTCAACTCTTACAGGCAACTGACTTACATTCTGACAAGCCTTCACTGTTTACCATTAGATACCGCCACCAGAACCAGGAATTAATAGTCCCGATGAAACAAAAACTCTCTGTTGCATACTAGCAGTCTTGAGACAGCATGGAGGAAGGCAGGATGTTAAAAAGAGGCTTTATTGCTTTAAGGAGTGCTGATTCCAGTCCTAACAACATTGAACAGGCAAAGCAAAATCCCAAAGAATCTCAAAGACTGCAGTTATGCACCTTGGTGTTGTATCCAAGGGGGAAATTCATTTTTGCAATACCCTCATGGATATTTACATAAACTCACATGGAAAGATAAACCTACATGAGGACCCAAGAGGTATCAAAACTGTTTTTCTGCAAGATCCAAAACAGGCTATATTATTCTTTAAGGTGGCGATGAACTGGCCTGTAGTAATTCTCATTCTATATCAAAAACCTTCAAAGCAAAGTGACAGCTTTTGGTCAATATGACCAAGTTCAGAACACTCTACCAAGGATTTGCTAGGTGAATACTATCCAGACATCTCTCTTGAAACATTTTTTTTTCCTTCTTAGAAAAACCTTTTTTGCCTACATACATTCCTTACACCAAGTAGTAATTTGCAGAACTGACAAATCGCTCATGGTGGCTTAGTGAACTGCAGTTATTTTAAGTTTTTTTTTTTCCTTTTCATCACAGTTATGGGCAGCACCATGCTGCGGTGGTCAGCACTGCTGCCTCGGTTTAATTCCTGGGCCGCTATCTCGGTGGAATTGGTTTCCTCCGATGCTCCTGTTTCCTCCCACAGTCCTAAAACATTCAGGTAAGTTAACTGGCTCCTGGGGAAAACTAGCCTTAGCGTTTGCCCTGTCACAGACTGGTGTCCTGTCCAGGGTGTATTCTACCTTGCGCCCACTGATTGCCAGGACAGGGTACGGCTCCCCTGCAACCTTCTACTGGATAAAGTGGTTAGAAACTGTAAGGATTGAAGCTCACAGCACTGTTAACAGTATCAGCTTTTCAATGCAAAATTCTGAAAGGCAGAGCTGACAACTCACGTAAAAACACAGCAACAGACATAATAAGTGGGTTAACCAGTAGAACAGCTCACTTCAGCGTAGGCTGAGATTTACAATCATGGGTTCATACTTGGGTCACGTCACTACTTGACTGTGACTGAGTGTGTGGGATTATCTGGCCACGTCCTGGGGCCATGTGGTGATGTTGGTAATGGACACTTCTCTCCTCCAATCGGCACT